TGTATGTAGAGTATTCAGCTGACGAGTTCTACCGAAATTTGATGAATTCATTAAATCCTGCTTTATTAATCTTTGTTGCTTGTTTTAAATTCGTATGAGGAAATAAATGTTTTCAAATCCAAGGTAGATTTGATTAGTTGTTAACAAATTCCTTTTACATTATTTAAGTATACAAAATAAATGAAAATAAATCTGACGCACACTACTGACTGGGTATAGGTCGAATTTGACTAGATTTCTGGTGAGGGATCGTGACCAGTGGGGTCTACTGTGTCGGGCGTCAGGACAAATACTCGCCAATGACATTCGCTAGTGCTAGCCGCACTAAAAAGTCACGGTTCGTTAAGAATTGGAATTCATGGGCCATTGGGTTGGGTCCCTGTAACTGAATGGTCTATGAGCTTGTCTTTCAACCAGAAGACCCTAGATTCCAACCCCGGCAGATGTGTACCACTGAAGAGTCACTCTAACTAGAACTAGTTTTCCAATGGTTCTGCACTTGATGTCAGCGCGTGATCAGACTTGAAGTAAATATATTTTTCTGTGCATTGAGGTTTCAACGCCAGTGGAGTTGGGTACTATCCCCATGAGCAACCCTCCCTTTCTCCCGGGTTTATAGAAAGCTAGGAGATGGGACACCACATCTCCCGATAATGATAGTTACTGACTAGTGTTCAATCAAAAATATCCAATACAGTCCTACAGGAGGTCAGTCGCGAGCCTGAATAGCTCAGTGGTAACGTCTCTGACTGCAGCACTGGGTGACGCGGGTTCGAATCTCAGAAGGGACATCAGTTCCTTCAAGGTTGCAGATACGCCTTGCTGATGAGTGCCAACTAGCACGAAACCTAGGCCCAAGGCTTCCTGTGGCCGATTGCCTCCAACCATCTAATACCCAATAATGAAGATCAGGTGGCAGGCCAGAAAAATAAGCAACTAGTAACTCTGGTAGTTTAACGAGGCAGCCAACAATCTTTTCTGCAACAAATATGTAGCACGAAGTCGGGATGGATTGGACACACGCTGAGGAGACTGCTGACACCACACCGTCGAATTGAGTCTGAATAATAACATTATATATATGCGGTTTAAATGGGAGAAATTTGAAAGAAGCAACCTCCTTTAACTACCAACCTAGGAAGCATCGTTTCAACTACAGGCGGACGGAACTGACAAGGATATCAAAGCAGCGAAAATCGGGAAAGCAAGGCAGGCAAGCTTTCATTACTATCAAGTCTGTGTGGAGGTCAACAGCACTCAGCATGAAAAATAAGAGGCGGATTTTCAACTACAATGTGAAGTCAGTGGTACCATACGGATCAGAGACTTGGTGCGTCACGAAGGACACTTCAAACAAACTACAGACCCTCATCAATAGCTGTCTTCGCTCAGCACTACGCTCAAGATCAGATGGCCGGCCATAAAAGATCAGCAACAGGGTGGGATCTCTGGCAATGAACGAACCAACCAGGAACCGATTGTGCAACAAATATGCAGGAGGAAATGGAGGTGGATTGGCCATACTCTGAGAAGAGGCTTTCGAGTGGAACCCGAACGGAAAGCGGCGAGTTGGTCGCCAGTGGGAGGGTGGGGTGACATGGAGGAGGTCATGTGAAGAGGAGATGAAAGCATGTGGGCAGACGTGGAGCCAGGTGAAAACGTTGGCAAAGAACCAAACGCAATGGAGACGTACGGCTGAAGCCCTATGTTCTGTTCCTCTAGGAACTAAAGGAAATAATAATAAATGTAATAATAATAATTATATATATGCGGTTGGCTTAAGGATTCTACTGGCACAACTGGATAAAACAAGTGAATGAATAGTTTTTAAACCTGTGAGTTCAAATGCCTAAATCAAACCAGTAGATCAGGGCCATTTATGTGTTTACACTACAATTGGCACTCAGCCAAATTTAGAATGGTAGAACCTACTGGGATAAGTATTCCGGAGAAAAAAGCGTGCACTAAATTACTTATCTTCTCGGGGTCAACCATGCTTACCTTAGCTAAATTCTTATGTTCCGACAATCTGACTACACCCGATCTACCAGTGTGACCTATGTAGTTGACTCAACTCAGTCATTGCAAGGTATTTTGTAAATTATATTATTTTGTCTAATTGGGTCAACCTGCAGGGTCCTTTAACCTACACAGCTTGTCCTATCGGAGTGAGTTTGTGAGTTTAATTGACTACCCTAATTCCTGCTTTATTGAGAATCCTACCACGTAGGGTCTCGGATGTCCCCTCCTTATATGGTATAACAGTAGATGCCTTATATTCTCTCTTATTTATGTTATCATTACTAGTTTCACCATTATATTTCTTTTTCTTTTGGTCTTTCCTGATCTTCCTAATGGAATTTATAGGATAGTTATTCGACACCAACGCTTCTTCTGTCTGTTTCATTTCATCATTTAGGTCTTTTCTTGTGCTACTTAGTGCTATTGCTCGGTCTGCTAGACACTTAACTAAGCCAGACTTCACAGACAACGGATGAGACGAATTAGTCTAAATATCTATTAGCAGAATGCGTTGGCCTTTTATAAATGCTGGTGTGCAGTTTACCTTCTTCTGTTCGTTTGATTTTAGAATTTAACATAGCCAATTCTCCTTGTTCATTCCCCGATTCAAATGTAAATTGTATTCCCTTCAGTAGTGAGTTTATATGCGTCACGAAGCTAGAGATACGTTCTGTTCCTAACACTGTCAAAGTAAATTCTATTCTTAATTTAATAATACACGAAAAATTACTCACAAGCTCCCATACTGAACGCTTTAACATGTTTATGCATACGCTTAGTTTATCAGTTCTCCGAAAATACAACAATATAAGTGACATATGACTACAGAATTCGAAATATTAACGGCATTATTTATCCCATACTCTCCGATAATCCCAGTTTTTTTCACACCAGTGAGTTGGATGTACCGTCATATTAATGAGTGGCAGTAACTTCAGTGGAGCATGCTTAATCATCGAGACTTAATAATATTGTGTACAATAAATACCCCCTTTGCACTTGAAGTGATAGATCCCGACCGATAGCTGCTACCTTGACGTGGTGGTCGGGCTTGCACATCACGATGACCCAACAAGCTACACTGGCTGGAACCAATGTTCCTGCAGGTCCTACCATGCCAGGAAGGTTGTTAGGATAGCGATTAGACTAAAAGCAGCTACCGGCATAGTGTAAGAATCTTTCTTACACTATGCTGGGGATCTGTGGGTGAAGTCGTACTGCTGGGGAACAGGGGTGTAACAGCAGTGAGGTGTTTCCCTCAGATGACCAGCATCCCAGCCAGCTATGCTGTCTGTCCACTCTGTTGAGAGGGGGTTAGAAAAGGTCGACCCAAAAAACTGTACATCCCGACTTACCCTACGGTGGTCCGTAACCGGCGGTAAGTTTACTAATACGGAACCAATCACAGAAACCAGTTCATACAGGCCGTGTATGATCGGCCTCAAGCAGTTGTCCCCTGGGCTCTGCGGTAACACAACACTAACCCTCTCTCTGTTTCAGGTAGGTGAAGAATCAATCAACTTCCACAGTGTGGGCAGCCGGGAAGTAACAACCGCCCACACACTTCCAAAAGCACACCAAGCCTTCCTGAGCATCATTTTCCTCTACCCACATCACCTTCATCATCTTATTCCCTGAAGTGATAGATACTGACTTCAAATCTTATTTACAAGGAATGTATACATTCAACTCCAAAAAAACATTGATTAAATTTTTTCACGTAGAACTAACTGTGTACGGAACCTCAACAGTTGAAGTTCTCATAATTCGTAAAAGCACCCAAATGTAGGAACACTAAATGGGAATGTACAGGGAAAAGAATAACTGAATGAAGAATACTGAAAGTTTGATGGATTTCAGTTCATAAAGAATGAATGCATTTACGCTATTGCACCATCTCACTAATAGTTTCCAGCCAGTGGTTCTTAGCTTCCTAAGGACTCCTCTGTACCTCCCGATGTGATACAAGCCAAGTCAGATACTTCATGGATTGATGTCATGTATTGATTTTACTACTTCTAACACTTTTCCAACCTAATTATATATAAGCTAACATGCCACGACAAGAAAGACGATGACTCAGCATACGTAACATCTCGATCGATGGAGCTTCACAACCTCTTCGATTGATTTCCCCCTACTTTGCTAATACACTACGCCTAACCAAAATATTATTTAAGAAATCACATCACTTAACACCATAGACAGAACGCCAACACCAACGATCAAAAAAATGGCTAGTTTTATTCATAGCTTCAAACTCCACAGTCATGTATGTATCATACGATAGACGGATACCCCACCCCCTTCTCCTATCTACACTAAACGTGACGCTAGCTAGCAAATACCACATGAAAACCAAAATTTCTTCAGCAATAAATCCATTTAGGGCTGACACAACACCCTCCCACCGCACCAACAAAATAAGTGAACAACTGGACAACATGTCCATCCATTTACAATTCAAATACCAAACTCCATGATCAACCACAAAAGCAAGCGCGATGTCAGAGAGATAGAGAGAAATCAGTATAAATATATTCTGTGTAATTTTTAAAAAAAATGAAATATAAGAGACTGGTAACCTGTGAGTTAACAAATATACTGGTTTACAAAGCATATTTATATATAAGACTAATGCCGCATATTATTACTCGTCAACATTTAAATGCAAGTACACATACGCCTATTTCATGAGAACAAAATAAACAAAAGAAACGTTAGCATTCATCCAAAATGAGAAAAATGCCACGATCACAATACAAAGGAGTAATTAGGTAAGTTAGCGTTAATGTGAATAGATGTGATACAACATAACCTTTCAAAATATCACTATAGATCAAGTTTATACATAATTTTAAAAAAAGAAAAAGAAAAAAGAAAGAAGCAAAGCGAGATTATTGTCTTCCAAAAAGACTAAGAATAAAAATAATGACAGCTGAAATCAAGCAACAGCATAGTCAAAATAACGTCATAATATTATTATTATTATTGTTGGCTTTGATGCCTTGTATACTGACTGGCTGCTGAAATTCCCAACAGGTATAGCAGACAAGCAAAATATGAAACAAATATTATTAAATTATTAAATAATACTGACTGCAGAAGTAATGTGATGTATGTATAAACTTTTAAAGTTTTCTGTTTAATCTGGCTTTCTTTTTTCCACATTTCACTTAGTCATCTCTTAACTTTTTATTTGTACGTGACCTGTTCCCATCGGACAGTGGTGAAGTCGACTGGAAAACTGATGAATTAGCCATCATATTTTCAATATACTGGCCTAATATCTGATTTTCTGAGCGTAGTTTCAGATTCTCCTCTTTCACAGCATCTACACGTGTTGACAAATCTTCAAGGGTATGCTGAAGTTCTAAAATCTGTTTATTTTTTTTTGAAATAATAATAAAAACAAACAAAAAATGATGAGAAAATATTTTACTGGAGGTCGACTTATCTTTAGTTAGTAAATCACAACTCAGTCATTTGGAATAGACTTTTTAATGAACCTGACTAAAAGAAACTTATTGTGTAACTACCCAGTTGGTGAAGTTAAAGTAGGTGGACCCAGATTCGAACCCGCGGCTCACTGACTGAAAGCCAAATGTTTACGTGGATGAACCAGCCCAAGTGGCTGAAAGGTCAAGAAGCTTGGGTCTCGCAACCTGAATGGTCTGGGTTCGATCTCTGACGGGATCGTAGAGGCGCACCATTGAACAGTCCCAGAATAGGATGAAACAGTTGCCCAGTACTCCCTGATATTCAATGCTCTATCTAACTGACACAATTGTAATTAATCTAAAATCCTCACTAATTCAATAATCTGAATGAGTCATATCTCCATAGATTTTTTTTTAATTGCTCTACAATCTGCAAGAAAAGTGAGCACTGAAAATGTTGTTCACATTAATAATTAAGTTATCTTATGCAAAAACAGTAACTAAAATAATAATGACCTTTGGTAAGTATCTGACGCCACCTTAATGTCACCATTATATTGTCTTTCTTTAATCAATAATAAGAATTCAGCTACCGATAGCAGTTTACCAATCTGATGACCAACTTATTTCTTAATAGTTAAGAGAAAACAATAAAAAGATTACGTGGAACTAAAAAAAAACATTTTATTAATGACCACAAACCAGTGTTAGATAAACATTCCATGTATACACAATCAATCAAGAGTTTATAGCCTGATAAATAAAAAAAACTGTGTTCTTGGTAGATGAGTTTTATAACAACAATAGTAACATAGTCAGCGTTCTGATTAAAGCGTATGAGACCAATGAAAAACTTTAGGGAGTACCTCTTACAGTCGACCACAGTAGAACAGCTAAATTCATAAAAATATCCTCACCCAACTGATGTGAGAACAGAGTCAGGGCAGCGTGGTAGAGTATAATGCCACTGTAGAGTAATTTTATTTGATAAAAACACATTGGTGCAGTGTTATTTAATGGGTATCAAGCGCTATATACATATATATATATATATATATATATATATATATATATATGAACTTTACTAGCAGTTCACCTAGGAGGGTGAGTACAGGTGTAAGTTTCTGCCAATCTTGAAGGTGTTTTGCACTTAGATGGTACACCACATATACCATGAAGACACTAATGTCTAGATGTCTAATCTAGGTAGCCTTTATGTTATCTAACAGTGAGGTTCGGCAGCATACACCAATAATGAGGTCAAACCTGCCTGTTGTTTTGGTCACATGTATGCAAATATTTCCAGTGATTTTTGAAAGTGATACGTAGAGTTACAATAGCTGTGTTAGATACTGCAATGGAGGTCAGCATTCTGAAAGTAGCTAATTAGCGTCTCATGTATAGTCATGTAACCACTTGTGGAGTAGCGAATGAGATTTCTATTTGTTGAGTGCCAAACTACACCATTCCCAGCACTGTTATGACGTTCGGCTGGCTGTTAAAGGTTGGGTTTAATAAACGCTTCTATGTGTGCAATTTCACCCAACGTCTGTGAAATTCGGTCTCCCCAAGGTCAAGATGGATGGCAACCCTATGTGCTTTATCATCGCTCTTTATGAAGTTCGTATTCGGCGATACCGTTCAATGAAGGATGGCTAGTGGGTTAGCATCTGTAGGTACGTCACGGCTACCTTAGTGAGGCTAAATAGATAGCCCAAGTCAGCAGCCCGAGATGCTTAAAATCAAAGGTTCGCAAACTAAAATCTCCTTGTTTCTCCTCTTTCTGAAGGCAATACAAAGTAATGGACGCTCCTTTGAATACTCCTGATAATTATGCTCACGATACACAAACATACGGTGAATATTCAGCAAGTCTTCATAGTTATGCAAGAAGATACTAGTACTTTTCTATGCTACAAATATCTTTGTGCTTCCATTAGACATCCCCTGTGTGTGTGGAAACTAAGTGAAAAATTCGTTACCTTATACACAAACATCTCTTATTGAATTAATTTGGAAAAATTTCTAAAATTGAAAAAATAAAAACTTCTTGACTAACTTGACTAATCAGTCGTTGTTTTTCTTCTAAATCTGCTTCTGCAATTTCTGTGTCAGTTTCGGGAACAGAATCGTGTGAATCGACATTATTAGAACACGCCACAAAATCCGCAGACATTATTATTGATGATAGGTTAGTCTGCAAAAAGTAAACACCAGATAGTAATTGTACTGTCACACACTAAGACTGGTTTATGAATTTCCTAGTTATAGCCTGTTTTTTTTTACTTGTGAAATACTCATGTAAAACATATGTGCAGATCTTTGCATCAAAGAATGAACTAAACATAGTGTGTCAGCTAATAAGACAGATCAAAGTAGGAATAACAACCGTCCCAGTTATTTCACTTCGCAAAAGCATACCGAAAGGGAACAGGAATTTAATGACACTTCAACTGAGAAGCGCGAAAGGGAGAATAAATCCAGCGTAGCATAGTGAAGATGCCTAAAATTCCAAAGACGACAAAATCAATCTGTACCACTATGAACGATCTTCAGCCAATGTACTAAGAGTTACCAATCATCGACATGTGGTATCTCAAAAATCCTAGATACGCAATCTACAATCCTATTTAGCACAGACTATAAGTTGATGACTTCTTGGATTGGTGACCACCCCACCGAGTGAGACATCACGTTCCATCTTATAAAAATTACTTCTTTACACAATGCAAGGACGAACATTTTCGCAAGATAAAAGTAGGTGATTTTATTTCACGGCTTTTCTTCGGTCACTAACAGCCTAAAAATTACATAAATTATACTAAATGTAAACCTCGCCAAGTTTTACTAGCTCACTATTTTTCTAGCTGGTCCCAAGCCCAGGAAAAAAGGGAAGGTTAGGCGTGGGGTTAAAGACCCTACCTCGGAAAACCAATCAAACTTCCAAACAAACTTCAACGTACTGAAAAATATGAAAAATATTAAATATGTATATAAATAAATATATATGGGATATCTTTTTTGCTGGAATCAGGGAGGCGAAATGACAGCGGCCTGGTGAAACCCCGCATTCGGGAAGCCAATCAGTCGTGCCCCTTCTCGATCAAAGCAAGAATAAGAATGGGGATGTGGAATGTTCGTACAATGTACGAAGCTGAGTAAGCTGACCAGGTAGCCAAAGAAATGAAAAAATAAGGCATAGAAGTGTTATAAATCTGTGAGAGCAGATGGAATGGATGTGGACTAACTCAATTGTCCACTGGAGAGTCCGTAATCTACTCCAGTCACCCAGACGACAACCACGAGGGTGTACGTGGTTGTAGTTATCAAGACGTCACCAACTGAAGCCAAAGCTCTAATACGGTGGGAACCAATTTCCTCCTACAGGATGACAGCAAGGTTCAAATCTAAAGGAAGGAAGGTTACGATCATCCAATGCTACGCATTTGCGAACAGCTTGGAACAAGAGAAGGAGGATTTCTATACACAACTAAAGACAGTAATGGGCGATTTTCCAAATGGAGATATATAAATGCTTATAGGCGACATGAGTGCCAAACCGGAAGCAGACGATACAGGAAGAAAACTCATCATACACCGAGAGGCCCTCGCTCGGTGAAGTGAATAAGAACGGAGAACTCTTCACAGAACTGTAATTTTCAACAATGTGCAGTGAAATGCATTCGTACGAAAAGCACTTGGCCATTTGAGGCACCACTTAACCATAGAGGAAAGCTGGAGATACGATGTTTCTGTGGAACGATCCCGCCACTTTATCCCCTACATTGCTTATCAGACACGTATTTTACTGGCTTCAAATATTTTGTTTACAACTCAGCTTATCACTTGTTAGTCATCTGTTTCTGAGTGGGTAACAATTAATTATTACCGATTTTAAATAAGACCATTTCTAGCGGAAAACTGATGAATCAGCATAGACGTAGTCAAGGATCCTTGATTACGTATAGTCGGCTATACGTTTACTGTAATAAGCCATGAAGAAAATGGTAACCGGACAACGGTAATTATGCTTCTTTCCCAGCGCACTAATCAGTGTCCCACTTTTGTATCTGGAAGATGGAGAGTACTAATCTAAAGCACTACTAACTCAGATAATGAGTATTACAGAAGTGGATTCCCAAACGTCACCTGTGGCAAAAAATAGATTGCAGCTGTGTAAAACTATTGGACAATAACTGGCATTTCGCGAAGATTAGGCTTCTTGGGGTAGATTAAACAACAGAATTAAAAATATGGAAGGATCTTAAACTCTTCTGAAATCACGATCGCGAGTACCCCATAATCTATGGTCTCCCTTTAAACAACCTCGTAACTTTTACCTCTCCTAAATTCTGATTAGCCTCCCAAGGTAAGAAGTAAGGTACCTCATGGTGTCTGCTATTGTCTTACTTAGCCAATGCAATTCCATCTTAAAAAGTCCAACCAACAAACCTCAAATGAAACAGCCGCGCAAACGAAGCTAGAGAACAAAATTGAAACGGCGCCTATAATTATAGTATCAAATGCTATCACAGAAACAAATTTCCGAATCTCTCCGTTGCAGAAGTAATGAGCTATTTCTTTCTGACTTTATAAATATCTGATACTACGACCAAACACTTAATATGAAGTTCACGTTCATGTCAGACTTTATCAACATTTTAGAGTAGCTTTAACAAGCATCGGTGCCCACTGGGAGCTTAATGAAAATGTCACGCATCTGAAACACCTACTGCCAGTCTTGATTATGCTGATATAGACTTTCAATCAAATCCTGGAAACGTCCAGCATTACGCCACTTCAAATTATAACTGATATGATTATACACGAGTCACACACCACGCCAATACGCCGCGAGCGTCAAGCTGCCACGTCGCTACTATCTAACGTGGCTGGAACTGACAACAGAAACATGCTGACAACTAGTAGTAGCATCACTTCTACAAACTCAGCATCTGGTTCTGACAGAGACCTTTTAACTAATCCCTATGCATGTGCCACAAAACTTCAGATACCGAGTCCAGCTTCAACACTTACTTAAGAAACAGAACGACTAAAGCTATCTGTAGAAGAGCTGAAGACTGAGATGCGGGACATAAGGTGTAGTAAGGCCGTGAATGCGGGATGTTCAGAAAATATGGCCAGCATATCTGAACTATGAACACAGATTAGTGACATAAAATCGCAGGTCTGTGAACTTACACCTCTGAGCATCCTGACCGGAACCATAAACCCTGGCGAACTTGACACAGAATCGGTAACCAAGGTAGACATTGTCATTAACATCATCATAACAGAGGTTATCAAAAGACTAGACACAAAGCTAAGCGTGATAGTCTACAATATACCAGGTAATCAGGGAGGAGGGTTAAACAAGTTCAAGGCATCTTACTTAGGTCGGCGGAAATGCCTTACTCTGAAACAAAGCACCACAGACTGAGAGAATCAGGACGACTACTGCTTCCCTATGTGCCCTCAGTTTGAAACACTGACAGAGGCTGAGAAATTCATCAATTCACAAAGTATCCTATTACAGGATACGAGCTACAAACAAATAAAAGTTGTAGCCAATAAAACAGTGACTGAAAGGCTTGCTTACAACCATCTCACTAAACTTAATGGTAAGAAGAGTAAGATAGTGCAAGAGACCAAAACAGATAAACCCACAGTCAAAATCGTAGAGCTCATAGCCCTCCCTCTCAGACCTCGCAAAATCAGCTCCACAGAACATGACACCATGCGAAAGGCTGTTGGATTATAATCCCTCTCATGATAAAGCCTCTATCCTCTCTACCGTGGATCTAGATATGTCTCTGGATAGCCCTAAGACAGAAGTCCATGCCTCTCGTAAGTTGACAACATCATCTCCTAGCAGTAATGTGAGAGTTCAAACGGAATTCGGTAACAAAACATGCTAGAATACACCACTCGTAACGAAAAATCCCCCACATTTTCAAACTCCTGAGAAGAATCCACTCTGTAAGGGAAGTGAGACAAAAAATAATACCAACAAGAACACCAGAGGCAGATATAGGGTCACACGGTCCATGGACCATAACGTCAGAACATAGTTGCATAATATGCCGTCATACTAAAGCCCACACTAATAGCTGGCGTGGCAACATCATCACGCAAAATGGTACAGGTGACAGCACTCAGATCTCAGCTCCCAACCACTCTGGGTCTTCAAAGTATGACACACAAACAAACTTTGACAATGTATGCCACAAGTCTGCTGAGAATTAAACCACAGTGTAGCAATGCACAAAACAAAACCCACGTAAGGACACACAGAATGTCTCCAAAAATTAGGCAGATTAATAAGCCATGGGCGTCACAATACACCAATGATTCTTTACTCGCAGCGCTGACCAAACAGCTGGTGATGTCAAATCTTTTGAACCCGTACCACTAGTATCGGCTCCCTATCGGGAATAAAACAGACACAGACTAGTGCACACGCAATTATTAACCACATCCCATGCTTGTACTAGCATAGGCCAAATAAAAACTCCTACTCTAGTCTCCAACCCACCTAAGCCTAGAACCACCTTATTCTGTAGTGAATCCAATAACAAAACTCCTTATTCACTAAAAGAAGTAAATAGTAACTCGACAGACACAGGTGAAAACAGTACTCACACCAATTGTAACATAGGGTTGCTATGTCACGTGGAACCAGTGGATGTTGAACCACACTTGTGCCTGATTAACGGGCTTAAATGCCTCAAACATTACCTCAACTCTCAACTTGAACTGATCATTATTAATGCTGGATCTATTCTAAACAAACTACCGATGATCAGGGCGAACACACTGGTATATAAACCCTCCATAATCATTATTACTCAATCTTGTTGTCGCTCCAATATACCAGATGAAATGATAAGCATCGATGGGTACACATGCTTTCGATGTGATAGGAACAGTGGTAAGGGAGAAGGCTGCCTAATCTGCTTCCTGAATACACTTACCGTATTACAGCCAGGAAATAGGGAACTCAACGACATGCATGACACCCTGTGGGTCAACGTACACTTCCAAAATACTACCTGACACCTTTAGTGACTATGAGACTCAACTCGTTGATGTACTGGAGCAAGTATCCACTCTCCCATGCGAGCACAAAACATATGTGGAGACTTCAACCCACCCGAAGTCAACGAGGACTTATTAACAGGTCCAGCTAAAGATGACAAGCACTTTGGTACACCGGACATTTTCGCCTGGTTCAGGGTTAGTTTACATGGTTGCTGTCCTCTTTGACTTCGGTTTGTGGGAAATATTCGCTAACTGCTGATTCAACTGAGCACGTTTGGATATATAGGAATATCGTGTACGTATTAACGAAAATATATGAGTCTGTTCTAGGAGTGATCTAAAATACTTGGGAAAAAATTAAGCTTGATCTCAGTTCTCCCACATAAGTTTAATGTGTATGGCATCGTGTCTCATTCTTGATTTATAGCCAGATTTGTTATTAGTTTAAAATGAGTAGTATGTCTGCATAATATTTTTTGCATTTTCATCGTGTGGTAACGTCAGAAGTGAATTTTACTCGATGCAGATGAATATCAGACATAGCCATGCAGATTTCTTTGCTGCACCGAGGTCAGCTTATACCGCCATTCGTAGCCATATTGTATTCTGTTCGCGTAAGTTGATTAAGATGTAGATAACCATGCGTACACCAGTTGCATCTTCATTTTAGATCATGGACACTTGTCTTATAGGATGTTATACAGCGTCCTGATATAGTGACAGGGGAGTTGACAATGATATGTAGTTATTTCGAGCCTAAAGCTTGAAGAGTGATGTGGTATACATAAATAAGTAGCTTCAAGTCCTGTTTAATTTCAGCCCTACTGTATATTTGTGCGACTTCCACTACAAGGCAAACAGAAGAGAAGAGGCAAGCGGTAGATTAGCAGAGAGAGAAAAAGTATGTTGACATGGATAGGACTTTAAAGTCCGAATATTTTTGTTTATATTCATTGCACACTGCCGTCCAGTAAACCCATATATTTATATTATATTAGTCGTTTTACACACCTGTTCAGCCAGTTTTTTATTATTTTTAGAGTCATTAGTGAGGTTTTACGCGTTCTTAAGGTACTGTGGGAATCTAGTAATTGATTGGTCCTAGAAATAAAAAGTTTGTTTATGTAATCAGTAGGGTGAAACAGTCATTTTAGAGAGTGTATGAAACGTATAACCGAGGTGCAGGTTCTTATTTCTAGGGGTAAGCTGTTCCGTATTATATATATATTTATTCCTGTTTATGCAGGAACATACCAATTGTACAGGCATGGATTAGTTATTATATAAATTACACATGTTTCGATGTATGTTGAATTTACAGTTTGTTTGTTCTTTCTGACATTACAGTCAGTCGGAACAGTCTGCAAAATATACTGTCTGTGTAACACATAAAGAGATATAGAAATATTGTCTTCGCATTAACAAAAAACCCAGACGTCAGATGAATGTAATACAAATATCTGGGAAAAATAAAGCTTGAAGTCAATTCTCCTATATAACTTTGTTGTGAACAGCATCCTTGAGATAAAGTTTATTGATGTATTATTTTGAGATCAGTGATGTAATTATTCCATTTTTTCAGCAGTCTAATCGTAGTTTTATAATAGGAAAGAAATTTGATAGTGGATACGAAAACTAGATAAGGTCATATTGGATTGTTTTGCTGCATCAAATGGGGCCGAGGTTGATTCTAGAACTATCCATTGGCGCCATTTGTGTCAGCATGGCAGACTGTACATGTAAGTTGAGTAATACATTGAAAACTTTTTGAAAACCAGTTGCTTCTTTATTTCAGATCAAGAATACTCCTTGTACAGAATGTTAGCCAGCGTTTTCAAGTGGTTGCATCGGATCGTTCATGGAATTTGAGTTTGAATTTACTTAAATGGTCATTTCAATTTAGATGTTGGGTTGTTCGACCTCGACCAGGAGGTATATAGAAAAGTAATCTCAGCAGCAGAATAGCAGAGAGATAAAGTATGTAAAATGAAGAGAACATTAATATTTTATGTATATATAAATGTTTATAAATGTATATCATTGTATAGTAAACACTACCTATAATCTAGTTGTTTTTTCATGTATTTTTGCGTAGTCTGAGAGTTTATTTAGTGTCATATTATTTAGTAATGAGTCTAGGCGTTATAGTGTTCTAATAGCCGATGCGTTTTAGAAATAAGTGGTGCGGTATGATTGGCATAGTCATTTGGATGAAGCAGTTTATGTAGCAAGCGTTTGAAGGTTATAGTAGAGTAACAGGTCCTTATTTCTAGGGGTAAAATGTTCCAGATCTTAGAGTACATGACTATGAAGAATTTTGCACAGAGTGCCGTCTTACAGTTTTTCCTAGATACTGTGCACGTTTGGTTACGAAGATTGTAAGAGCCTTCCGGTGAGAACTATATCTCCTTACTGTCTGAGAATGATATTTTATGCGATATTTTAAAGAAGAATGTTAGATTAAT